CTGAATTATTTTTTCACTTAAGCATGTTACGAATTTTATCTATCAATGTGTGTGTGTGTGTGCGTGCACACATATGTTATTTATCATGTTTATTGTCGGAATCCCCCATGGGACTGTAAACTCCTAGAAGGCAGAGATGTTTTCCTAGGGCCTGACATAATTGTGCTCAATCAATGCTTGTTGAATGAGTGAATGAAACTAGAGTCTGCTGCAAAGAGAAGCCTGGGGATGCCAGGGTGTTATCCGCATCTAGAAGGGTTCAGGAATCTGGAGAAGGGGTTGCGAGTAAATTAAATAAACTAGACATGAAATATAAATTTGGAAGGCAGTTTGGGGGAGCTAGATGGGGCTTAGCTTTAGTAACTGAGCTTTCCGAATCTCTGGATCTCTAGCTTTTTATTAACACACTGGAGACCCGGTGCATGAAATTCGTGCATGGGGGAGGGGGTCCCCTCAGCCCAGCCTGCACCCGCTCCAATCTGGGACCCCTCGGGAGATGTACCACTGCCTCCTGGGGATCGGGCCTAAACCAGCAGTTGGACATCCTGTCACAATCCGAGACCACAAGCTCCTAACTGCTCACCTGCCTGCCTGCCTGATCGCCCCCAACTGCCCCCCCACTGGCCTGGTCACCCCCAACTTCCCCGCCCAGCCGGCCTGGTTGCCCCCAACTGCCCCACCCAGCTGGCCTGGTTGCCTTAACTGCCCCTGCTGGCCTGGTCACCCCTTAGTGCCCCCCCTGCCGGGCTGGTTGCCTCCAACTGCCCTCTCTGCCAGCCTGGTCACCCCACACAGCCTGCTGCTCAGTCGTTTGGTTGCCCCTCACTAAGCCCCCTGCCGGCCTGGTCGCCCCACGCAGCCTGTTCTGTCATCTGTTCGGTTGCAATGGTCACTTAGGCATATATATATATATATATATATATATATATATATATATAGATAGATAGATATATAGATAGATATAGATAGATATAGATAGATATAGATAGATATAGATATAGATGATATAGATATATAGATATAGATATAGATATAGATATAGATATAGATATATAGATAGATTTTGCCCTATAGGAAAGCAGATATACATATCAAGGGTAAGGTTTGGTAAACAGTAAAAATATTATCAGGTTGGGGGAACTGCCCCCAGCTGTCTGGCAGCAGGCAATACTATATGCAGATCTTCAGCCCTGCTGAAGCCCCAAGGTTCATCAACCTTTTGATGAATTTCTTGCATAATTGTGACCTGCTGGAATTAGCCTCCAGCATGGAGTTGTTGCACTTCTCTTCCAAAGAAAGAAAGATGTCCATCACTTCTGGAGTGAGGCACTAACTTGGGAAAATGAGGCATGGGATCCAGGCAGTCTAGTGCTCCCTGCTGGCGGTTTTCCTAGTGAGAGTAGCAGTTTCAATGGCTCAGTTGTTACAGAAGTTACCAGGTGGCAGGAAGACACATAACAGGCACTTGGAAGATTCAGGAAATGCACTTTAATTGCAGGAGCATGGGTGCTGTGACTCAGGGGAATCAGTTCCCAAAACTGAATGCCTAATGCAGTGGTACTTTCCCTTTTATCCCCCTAGTTTCTTTGTCTCCCAGATATGGACTAGGCCTGAGGTCGCAAACTGCGACTCTTTGGCCCCTTGAGTGTGGCTCTTCCTAAGCCTTAGGAGTACCCTAATTAAGTTAATAACAATGTACCTACCGATATAGTTTTAAGTTTAAAAAATTTGGCTCTCAAAAGAAATTTCAATCGTTGTACTGTTGATATTTGGCTCTGTTGACTAATGAGTTTGCTGACCACTGGACTAGGCTTCCGGATTCTTTGCGGGCTTTTGCAGACCCTGTGATGGTTGTAAGTGGGGGGAGTGAGATAGTGACCAAGACCATGTTTGGCGCTGGCAGACCCCATTGTGGGGCTGTGTATGGTTTATAGCTCCTGTTAAGGTAAGCATTCAGGGAGACAGGTTTTGCAAGGCTAGCTGGGACCCAAGTGGAAAGGAGGTTGGGGCTTAATTATACAGGCTTGTATGCATATGTGTCAGAATTCAGGTTTGACTGGGCACAGACCTAGGCTGCCACCCTGAATTGCCTTCATAAGTAAACAAACTCCTGGAGGTAAATTTGCACAATGGCACAGTAAGTGTGCAAAGGGGAAATGGACCTGTTTCTTAGCCAGGAGCAGTGTTATTGAAGTTGTATAGAGTTATTGTAGCATATTGATAACAAAATGATAGACTTTGAATTATTTTATTAATTGGTTATAAATACTCTGACACTATATATCCTTATTGCCTGCATAGGGCACACAGTTCCCCACTGACACTCCCACAGTCCTCTGCTTCCCTAGACTAATACTCCATTGGAAGAAGAAGAATGAAACACTACAAGCATTACTAAATTTACCTTATTATTATTCTACTAATGTTTACGGGAGAGGTAAAACAACACAATTTGGTTGATCCAAAGATGGGAAAGTAAAGGGAGGGACATGTAAGTTTTTGCTTTGCAAGGTCAGACATACTGATTGTTTTATTAAAGAAGAGAGCACTGAAAGATGAGCAGGTTTGTGTGGAAAGTCTTTACATTTGTTCTTGGACAGGTTGACTTGGGATGTTAAATCCCCCAAATTGTTACTGCATCGACTTTATTAATAAAGCAAAGCTAAACATATTGGAACTTGCAGTGGGAAAGTCCCGTAGTTCCCCCCTTATCCACAGTTTCATTTTCCTTGGTCTCAGCTTGACTTCATTTCCCATCATCAACCAAGGTCTGAAAACATTAAATGGACAATTCCAGAAATAAAGAACTTATGATCTTTAAATTGTACACCATTCTGTGTATCATGATGAAATCTCATGCCATATTGCTTTGTCCCAGCTGGGATGTGAATAATCCCTTTGTCAGTGTATCCACACTGTGCATAGAGCACAATAAGATTTTGAGAGAGAGAAGCCACATTTATATAACTTTATTACAGTATGTTGTTATAATTGTTCCATTTTATTATTAGTTATTGATGTTAATTTTTTACTGTGCCTGATTAAAAAATTAAACTTTAGAGTGTGCCCAGTGGTCAGAGTGGGACCATCCAGATTGCAGCTCCTCAGAGACATAAAGGACACACTCAGGGGGCAGACTCAGTGAGCACCAAAGCCCCACTGAAGCAAGTCTTGCCGCGGAGGGGTGTCTCCAGCACAGAAGTTCTCCCACTGCAGACACAGCTGATTCTCACAGCCAATTGGCCTGGAGGTCAATCCCTCCCAGTGTTACCTACAACAATCAAGGCTTAACTACAACAAGACTGGGCACAAAGCCCACAAGGGGGTGCACCAAGAGTTTCTACCTCAGGTAATTGGTGAGGCCGAACCACTGGGACCTATAGGACACCTAGCACAGAAAGCCACTCTATCGACACAGCGAAGCATAAAAAATGCCGAGACAAAGAAACAGGACACAAATGACAGAAATGGAGGAAAGCAAAATACTGGATATAGAGTTCAAAACCGCACTTTTAAGGTTTTTCAAGAATTTCTAGAAACCGCCGATAAACTTAATGAGACCCTCAAGAAATCTAGTGACACCCTCGAGGTTGTGATAAAGGACCAACTAGAAATTAAGCATACACTGACTGAAATAAAGAATATTATACAGACTCCCAACAGCAGACTAGAGGATCGCAAGAATCAAGTCAAAGATTTGAAATACAAAGAAGCAAAAAACACCCAACCAGAAAAGCAAAATGAAAAAAGAATTCAAAAATATGAAGATAGTGTAAGGAGCCTCTGGGACAACTCCAAGCATACCAACATCCACATTATGGGGGTGCCAGAAGAAAGAGAGCAAGATATTGAAAACCTATTTGAAGAAATAATGACAGAAAACTTCCTCTACCTGGTGAAAGAAATAGACTTACAAGTCCAGGAAGCGCAGAGAACCCCAAACAAAAGGAATCCAAAGAGGACCACACCAAGACACATCATAATTAAAATGCCAAGAGCAAAAGACAAAGAGAGACTCTTAAAAGCAGCAAGAGAAAGAAAGTCAGTTACCTACAAGGGAGTACCCATACGACTGTCAGCTGATTTCTCAACAGAAACTTTGCAGGCCAGAAGGGAGTGGCAAGAAATATTCAAAGTGATGAATACCAAGAACCTACAACCAAGATTACTTTACCCAGCAAAGCTATCATTCAGAATTGAAGGTCAGATAAAGAGCTTCACAGATAAGGAAAAGCTAAAGGAGTTCATCACCACCAAACCAGTATTATATGAAATGCTGAAAGGTATCCTTTAAGAAGAGGAAGAAGAAGAAAAAGGTAAAGATACAAATTATGAACAACAAATACACATCTATCAACAAGTGAATCTAAAAATCAAGTGAATAAATAATCTGATGAACAGAATAAACTGGTGATTATAATAGAATCAGGGGCATAGAAAGGGAGTGGACTGACTCCTCTTGGGGGGAAAAGGGGTGTGGGGGATGCGGGAAGAGACTGGACAAAAATCGTGCACCTATGGATGAGGACAGTGGGGGGGGGTGAGAGTGGAGGGTCGGGGGGGAACCGGGTGGAGGGGAGCTATGGAGGGAAAAAGAAGAACAACTGTAATAATCTGAACAATAAAGATTTAATTCAAAAAAAATTAACAAAACCAGTTTCGGTGGTTGAACCAGAATGAGGTTTAGAGCCCAGTCAGCCTGACCTCTGCTTCGCCCTCTAATGGTGGCCCCAGAGGCACCCAGTGACTACCAAGGTATCTGTAGAATCTCAAGGGTGATGACTCAGGCTCATTTGCATACACATAATACCCTGCACAGAGTACAATCCTTTTCAAGTTTAAAAGACTTTTTTTTAACTTGTCATTTCTAAGTACAAGAAACTTACTTGAAAAACTTCTGGTGCAAACTTTGGGCAGAAAATACCTCTAGCACTAAAATGCCACCATAATTGAACTAGGAGTTGTAGTTCCTGGGGAAGGGAACTTGGGAGCAGCAAAGCGAACTCTGGTTCTCCTCAGATTGGATTAACCTTTTGCCTTTTACTGGAGATTTCTGTGGAGAGGAGCAACTCTGAGTTTATACTCAGTTTTTTTTCTTTCTTTTAAGATATATTTTATTGATTTTTTGTAGAGAGAGGAAGGGAGAGGAATAGAGAGTCAGAAACATTGATAAGAGAGAAATGCCTGGAATTGGACCTTAGGGCCAAAGTTCTATCCACTGAGCCAAACTGCTGAGGCTATACTCAGTTTTTTGAGGCCTCGTTTTAGCAGGGCTAATCTTGTGGTTACAGAGAAAGACGACTTCTGTTTTTTTAACTTGAGCTGGACAGGATTGTCGGCTCAGATCCGCTACCTAACCCAGGTGGCCACAGGGCAGCCCCACGAGGGCTCCAGCTACTCTTCAAGCAAGGACTGTCAGATGGCACTATGGCGAGTGGACTATGCTCGCCTCAAGCTCAGCGATGTGGCCCGAACCTGAGCAGATGCTGGAAAACTAAGCCAAGTAGGCAGAGAGACATCTGGGAGGCAGATCACCACCTGCCCCCCGGGACAGAACCTGGGGACCTGTAGATTGAGGAGCACAGGCTGCCATGCATGCCCTGCTGGTCATAGATGAGGACAAAGAGGCAAAAGGTGGGAATGGAGAAATTAAAGCCCACGCCTGCCCAGACTCTGTGCTGGCTCCTCCAGCAGGTGCCTGCTCTGACTTCACCAAAGTGCTGACAAAGCTCAGACAGGAGACAAAGAGTCAGTCACGCAACCCACTTCCTCAGATACTTCATGTCCTTGTCCCCTTCCGCAGACTTGACCCAATGAAGACACATTTTTCTTCATTGGAAGAGATAAAGCAGGAACTAAGGGTTTTAATAATAAAAAAACAAGAAAGACGACTTCTAAATTATAAATAAATAAATAAATAAATAAATATTAAACTTTATCATGGATATGTATGTACAGGAGAAAATATAGTTTATATAAGGTTTAGTACAATTCAAGGTTTCGGGCAACCATTGGAACATAAACCCCAAGGATAAAGGGGGACCATTGTATTCTGAAAGGGTCTTGGTGTCTCAAAAAGGGGACATCAAAGTAAGATATTTATTAAACTTTGGGGTCTGGGATCAGGAAGGTTAAAAGATTTTTCAAGACAGAGAACTTGAAAATTGGGCAATACTCATAAAATTATAGTTTAGAATTGCTGGCCACAGCAAAGCAAGGTTAGTAAAGTCAATCTTAATAAATAAACTTGCTCAGGTGAGCAGAATCTCTCTAAATTGATCTTTAAGAATTTCTTTTTTAAAATATATATTTTTATTGATTCCTAGAGGGAGAGGCAGGGAGAGGGAGAAAGAGAGGGAAACATTGATGTGAGAGCAAAAGATTGATTGGCTGCTTCCTGCAAGCCTCCCACCAGGGATCCAGCCCACATCCCAGGTATGTGCCCTGACCAGAAACCTAACAAGCAACCCCTTGGTGCACAGGCCAACACCCAACCAACTAAGGCACACCAGCCAGGGATTACAGTCGTGTGTGTGTGTGTGTGTGTGTGTGTGTGTGTGTGTGTGTAAAAGTTCACTGGAACAAATGACCAGGACAGTTTGATCTCAGTTCTCTCAGGCAACTTTTGAGACACCCAAGGGCACATGTTGCATAACTCAGAGGGATAGTATGAAATTTAGGAGTAATCATTATATAGACTAATAAAGATCTGGAGAGTGTTCTTTTCAAGATTACCCAGGGAGAGAAAAAAAGTAGACCAGGACTGGGTATTAAGAAACGTCAACATGTAATAGTACAATATGGAGATGAACATTCAAAGGATATTGAGAAGAGGTAAAAAAAAAAATGAGTGTGAACAGGATCATGTAAGGAAGATACATCAAGAAGGAAAGAGTGATCCAAAAGGCCAATGCTGTTGAGTGTTAGGAAGATATGAGGACTGAAATGTCCATTTACTAATTAGAAAGTCATTGTTAATCTTAGTGTGAGCTGTTGGGGTGATTTTGTAAAGAAAAAAAACAGATAAGAAACTATTAAAAAGGGTGTGAATGGATAGGAAATGGAAGGTACTTCAAGAATTTTTGCTGAGCAAGAGAAGAGCAAGATAAGTAATTGGTAATTGTAGGAATGTGAAAAGTTGATTGTTTTTCAGGCGGAGAGATTTGAATATATTTAAATATGCATATTATCTGCTGCTATTCTCAGTCAAAAAATAAATCCTTCATTCCTTCCTTCTTTCCTTTCTTTCTTCCTATATCCTTCCTTTCTTCCATGTACTGATTCATTTATTCATTTTATCCAGCAAAGAGAACAGACTAGACCTTGGCCCTAGGAACTGACAGTCTCGTGAAAGTTGAATATGTAGAAGGGAAATGTGAGTAGGTGGATAAATATCTTATCCCTGTTATTGCATCATTAGTAGAAATGTAGTTTAAGTTATTATTGTTCTATCCCAAAGGGAAGAGTTTACATTACTTTACAATATAAGTATTCAGCCGAAGATTGGACTGTGTTTTGAAGCTTCAGAATCAAATTTCCTCCAGATATAGCTGGCTCCATACTGGGAAGAAACTTGTGACCTCGAGCTTATTAACATGATGAAACAATCCAATGAATTAGCAGGTATAAGCCTAAGACAAAATAGGACATCAATTTTTTTTTATTAATTGTAAAAGCCTAAGTTGAGGGTGGGGGAATAAATTTCAATCTGTTGAGATAGTGTACATTTATGTATTCACTTGAAATTACTGTTCAATCAAACTTGTCTCCATTTCAATGCTAAAATATTCATTTTCCTCCAACCCCTTAAATCAAAGGTGCTATAAGCAAACCAGAATATACATAGGAAGTCATGCTGCATTCTCATGTTGCTAATTGGAATTTGGATGAATATAATATAGAAGCAAGACAAGACAAGAGTATAGTATTTCCATTAGCTTCTCTACCCATGTTCCTGCATCTTAATCAGAGCCTTGTTAATATTTAAATATGCATTTTAAGCCCTGAGTGTATAAACAGTCATGGAAGTTCCATTAATAATTGTAATTTGTATAAAAGGATATATGCCACAGACAAATGCTCAAAAGTGTAGTTTAATTGGAGTTATAAAAACTGATTTTGTAGCTCAGAAATGTAAAAAAAAGTTGCAGCAGGAAATGAACTTATTTTTAGCTACTAAGATGCACTGTGGTTTATCATTTATTGAGAAAAGATTTTTATTTTAAGGTAATATTTCTCCATCAGCTATGTACTTGCTGTGTTTTTTTTAAATTATTTTAATGTGGGGCTATTTGGAGATAGAAAAATGGGAAAAGGATCTGCAGGGGAAAGAGATATTGACATCACCTGAAATGCCTTCCATTCTGCAGATTCTGAGCTCTGCAGCCTTCAAAAGGGCCATAATGGAGCAGAGAGAGCTGTCACTCTGGAGCTGTGTCTCTTTTCTCCTTCAGCAGTCATGCTTCAAATGGGTCCTTCTGCAGAGCAGTGGCTTGAAGTAACAATCACCCTCCCTTCCTCACAGCAGTCTGCCACAGAACAAAGCCCCTGGAATAATGTCAGTTGAAATGATGAAGTATGTCTTTTCTATACATCCATAAGGATACTTATAGTGTCTTCCTGGTTCTAAAGGAGAGGATATAGTTCATTATTAGCAACAGCTCTAAATCTTTCTTACTATGTGCAACTTAACTCTTTTATTAACCATAGAACTTATATGTATATTAAAGGCCCAGTGCACGAAATTTGTGCACGGGTGTGGTCCCTAGTCCTGCCCGGCAATCAAACCACAAGTGTCTGGTGTGGAAGGGAGGTCCCAGCTGACCTCTGGGCCCTGGGCAGCACCTGGGCCCCTGGATCCCCATGCGTCCCCCTCCGCCTGAGTCCTCAGGCCCCTGCGCAGCTCCCTCAGCACCTGGGAGCTGGGCGGCAGCCCTGCCCCCCACTGCTGCCATTGGTTGCTGTCTACAGGGTGATTGGCAGGGCGGGGCCCAGCTCACACCCACCTTGGCCTAGCACCACCCACTCACCTGCTCCACCATTCCACCACGGTCCTGCTCTCATCGGGGCCCTGGCCTCTACTGCCACCCACTGCCAGCACCACGTTGCTGATGCCTGCTATGTTCCGCACTGCCCCCTGGTGGTCAGTGCACATTGTAGCGAGTGGTCGAACTCCTGGTTGAGGGGAAAATTTGCATATTAGCCTTTTATTATATACTAGAGGCCCGGTGCACAAAATTTGTGCACTGGAGGGGCAGGGTTGGTCCCTCAGCCCAGCCTGCACCCTCTTGCAGTCCAGAAGCCCTCGGGGGATGTCTGACTGCTGTCTTAGGCCTGCTCCCCCTCTGGCTGAGTTGCACTCCCTCTATGGGAGCGTACTGACCACCAGGGGGCAGCTCCTGCTTTGAGCATCTGTCCCCTGGTGGTCAGTGTGCATCATAGTGACCAGTCGTTCTGCCTTGTGGTCGATTTGCATATTAGCCTTTTATTATTATATATAGAAGATAAGAATAACTCATGGACACAGACAGTAGTGTGGTAAAGGTCTGGGGCAGGTGAAGGGGGTGGGCTAGAAGGGGTCAATGGAGAAAAAGGGGTACATCTGTATTACTTTCAACAATAAAGATAAATTAAAAAAACAAACAAACAAGAGGAAAGATACTAGGAACTTTCTAACACATAACAAACATTAGATTTCTATTCTTAGAATAAGCTCTGACTCAAATACTGTTTTATACTAAGTATTAGTATGGAATATGCATTCAGCAAGAAATTTACGGAGAAAAAACATGTCTTCAGAGTTATATGATAATCACTCATGAGATGTTGCTAGTCATCCCCAAAGCTTTTATGGAAAAAGATAGAATCTTTGCATCAAAACAAACAGATTGAATTCTTTGCAATTTTAGCAAATGGGTTGATTGAGAATTCCTCTCAGAGGTAGTTGATTAAGCTGTGACTGTAGGGGTCGTTTACTTGATGCATACACTATGTAAAGGTCAGGCCTGCACATGAATAGCTACTCTATGTAAAAAGCCTACCTTCCCCCAAAGCATGATTGCCACTGTACTGCCACACAGTATTGTCTTGGCATTACTGTGAAAGAATAAAA